GACATGGAAGATCCGCAAAAGCTTTCTTAAATTAGTTTTTTTAACATCTTCTCTATTCTTCTTCCTATGCAGCAGCGGTCAAGCGGGAATGGCAGTCGTAATGTTCCTTGTACTGCGGAGTGTAGAAAGAAATTTGAATGGGTGCATGAAGCAATTTCCAAGAATATGTAAAAGCAGGGCCTGTACTTTAGAGCCCAACTTGTAAAATGGTAAGAGGGTTACTCCCTACACCACTCCACTTTTCTCCCTACACCATTACATTTTTTTTAAATTCCAAAACCATCCTTTATATTTCAAAATATCTTACACCCCCACCTCTTTTCTTTAACGGATATCAATATCCATTGAAGAAAAAATTCTTCAACGGATGTGCCACATCTGTTAAGTTTTTTTTTTCTTTTAATTTTTAATTTTTTAATTTGTTGTATTTTAAATTAATATAATTTAATTTTTTTAAAATTATTACTTAAGTATTTATAAATTTATTTTATTTTATTTAATAAAATAATTATTATTACTTTATTTTATGTATTATTATTTCAATAATAATTAAAATATTTTTTATAAATATATTAAAACTATGGATGTGGCGACATCCGTTGAATTTTTTTTTTGTTTTTTTAGCTTTTAGTTTTTTAATTTTTTGTATTTTAAATTGATATATAAATATTATTTAATTATTTTAAAATTATTACTTAATTATTTATATTAATTTTATTTTGTTTAATAAAATAATTATTATTAATTTTAATTTATGTATTATTATTTAAATAGTAATTAAAAATTTTGTTATAAATCTACTAAACGGATGTGGCGACATCCCTTGAATTAGTTTATTTTTAGTTTTTAGTTTTTTTAATTTTTTATATTTTAAATTAATATATAAATATTATTTTTTTTAGATTATTACTTAATTATTTATAAATTTATTTTATTTTATTTAATAAAATAATTATTATTAATTTAATTTATATATTATTATTTAAATAATAAATAAATTTTTTTAAAAAAATCTATTAAACAGATGTGGCACATACGTCAACAGATGTGATCACATCCGTTGAAGTTTTTTTTAAATAAAAACAATAAACTAAAATATAAAATATGTAAACTAAGGAGGTCCTTTGAAGGTGAAACAAATATTGACATCCTTTTTATAGTAAGGACAAATTAGATATGAGGTGATGTAGGGAGCGATTGGTGGTGATGGAGGGAGCAATTCTCAAATAGTAAATGTGAACCATTTTGATTTCGAAAGACAAAGAATTTACTTTCTGGATATACATTTGAATATGTAATTTAGAAATTACAAAATATTATAATACATCATATAAGTAAGAATAAATATTTATTTTATATGATTAAATTTTATAATAAATTGTGATCACTATATGAATAATATAAGAAATTAAAGTTCACATTAAAATTTTTTTAACGTATAACTTATATTTTAGATTTACAATAAAATAATCACACATAACTATGTATAAAAGGAACTTAAATATAATTGAAATTCTCAATCCACCACTAAAAAATTTGACATCTATACATTTTTTGTATTTAATCATTTTGCACACAATCACTACACATGTTACCAAAATGGTTTTACTAATTTTTTTATATATAAGAAAATGTCACTAAAAAAGTACTCCTAATATCTTTCCTTCTTCACGAAAATGTCACTCACGTTATTTACGAAAATGTAACTCATATTATATTATCATTATTATTATTACTTTTATATTATTATTATTATAATTATTACTATTACTACTATTATTATTATTATATGAATATTTTAAATAATTATATTGTCATAATCATAATTAATAATAATAATAATAATATTATTATTATTATTAATATTCTTATTCCTATTATAATTAATGTAACATCCCAAAAATACAGTGTAAAATTATATAATAGAATAATCACATCGAACAATATTACAGATCAGTCTTACAAAATAAAGAACGTTCGCTTGTGGTTGAACGGTCTTATAAAAAGAAAAAAAAGTTAAAACTGTACAAAATAAGCAAACTCCGACCGAACGGTTTACAAAAGGCTATACCGGACGGTCATACAAAAAGAAAAGGAAAAAAAATGATCGAACGATCATCTTACAACTAAACTAATATACTGACCGAACGGTTCAACTAAGTTTTCTTCTTCCAATGCTTCTTCCAACAGCTCGTCTCCTTCTGCTCACATCCACATGGATGATCATTACAATAGAAAGACAACCGAGCGTACAAAACAAACAAGACAAGAAGCATAGGATAACCTTATGTAATTCAATTCATGTATCAGCATATATTTCACACAATCAACCAAACAAGATAAATCATTAACTCTTTCATGCAAAGCCTAATACTAGATTCTGACTGTCCAGACTATATGAATTCTATGTAGGTACGACGTTCGTGCACACGGGTGATGTAGTAACTGGGATACCCTCAACAGCTGTCACCCGAGGTTAGTCCTATCTGTCCAAATTAACCATAAGGATTAGGACCTCCTGCCATTCCCACACATGACTTACCCTTCTCTACGTGAGAACGAATAATCACGGAACATCAGAATGAACCGCCAACTTAACATGCCCACATTCATACTTTACCAAATTCCAATATTCATTCATGAGATATTCCCTCGGAATACTCGTTCATAATCATACTCATTTCATCTACATTATATTCCATCATCTTTTCTTTTCAAACTTCAATTTGAACGAGGATCCTAGGATACCAAATACCGAACGTAAAACTTCAACACCTAAAGAAACCAAACACTTGGACTGAGACCGAGAGGTTTCCAGTTCCAGAACAGATCAAAACCGAGAGAGAGTTACTATCGGGGTTGGAAAGAAACCGATTTCAATAATATTTCTCAAGATTAAAAAAATCGAACGTTATTTCAAAGTGAGTCAATTTAATGAACTGACTCATGAGCGTTTAAACTGAACATCTTAAAGCCTAGGCCGAGTACTAAGACTCTAGGCCGAAACCAATGGAAACGGACACTGCAAGCCATTCAAAGGATCGTACTTTAAAGAATCATATGAAGAAAACGAACGCTATAAATACTTAGCTTATTTATGAGTTTAACATAAAAAAAAACCGAATGTCAGTCAAAGACTGAACACGGTAGAAAGTGAACACTATAAAGTTTGGACGAACGCTTTTATTAGCAAGATAGATTATTGAAAAAAGAACGAGCGCTTGGTGTAAGACCTAGCGTTAAATAGTACGAGCACTTGGTGTAAGATCGAGCACAACTTAATTTATAGAATAAAGCGATAATTATATGATATTAATTAACTAATGTTCAAGAACGAACGAAAATACTACTACATATAAATATACTTAAATTTATATCAGAATGCCAATGAACGAATATCCTTGGTTGAAAGACTATACACAAATTTTACTAGATGAAGACGCCCAGTCCTCAACAAGAATTCCCTCCAAATGAAAGAATCCCATTCTAAATGAGTCCCCGAGAAAAACCGAATGGTCAAAGACCATTCAGTAACGAACATACATTATCTTAAGGAATTTCATACTTAGAATCATTTATCTCAATTCATTTCTCAACATTTATTTTCATAATTTCATACTTCCATATCATAGTAAATCCTCATACTTCATACAATCAAAACATAGCAACAATCATATTTCATATTAATTCAGCAATTCAACGAACATACATACATTCCACACAACAAAAAAAATCAAATTATATAAGCTTCCCTTACCTCTGAGCATGACCGAACGTTCACAAAGACAGAATACGTTTTCACAACTACAAGTCCTTCTACCCTCAACGCTCAACAATTTCCAAACTAAACCAAGTAAAACCAAAACAATATCAGAACCTCTTATTTTTAGAAAAACGATCAACACATGAAACCAGAACTTGGTTTGCATGTAAAAGAAAACACACGACTAAGTGAAGAGAAGAACTTACCAGCTCAGCTTTACAAACCGATCAACTCAAACTGAAGCTCTTGACACCGGAGGAGTGGAATGGTGCCTGAGTGATGATCGGAGGAAGAAACAGTGAGGATTTCTTAGAGAGAAGATGAAGGAGATGTATATAGAAGGAGGAGAAAATGGAGTTTTTCAGAAATCTGGAAAAGAAGGGTGCATGCAGAGAGTGGCGTGAAATTCTGAAAATCAGAGTTTTCCTTCCAACGTTAAAACGAACGTCCACTCAGTTGCTCACACCTGCCTTCAACCATCTGTGTGTCGGACTCCCTTCTTGACACATGTAATCCACTAAGACAAACCTTGAGTGAATTGTAATGATTCTGACAATTAATAATAGTAATAATAATAATATTATTATTATGAATACTAATATTATTATAATAATTATTATTGTTAATATTATTTTTATTACTAGTATTAATAATAATAATAATAATCTTCTTTGGTTCTTGACTTTTGCTATCATGATCAGTCTGTTGATTCTTGCCTTTTCTCATCTTGTGACTTTTGAGGTGGAGAATTCTCCCCATGAGGCCACTCCCCTCCTTGTTCTTCTTCTTTGCTTTTCCTGCCATCAATTGTTGTTCAAGAGGTCCACACAAACAAGTATATCTGCTTGTTCAGACGCAGAGAAAAACGAAACAAAATCAACCAAAGAATAAAGCACAGAAGTTGAAAGATATATGAGATGAAACACTTTGTTATGCAAGAGGCTTGCCCTGTAGAAGGCGGTGTTTATGTGCATATATATATATATATATATATATATATATATATATATAATCCTTAAAGTCTTATAGAGTGCCTTCCAAGAAACTACTTTACTTCTTTGACTTCTTTCCGCGCCTTTCGGTACACAAAAACGCCAAGCCTCGATGATTCAATTTCAAGATTAGTAGTATGATAAGATGATAACATATGAATGTAATTAAGGAAAATTCATAACATAAGTTCTGTGGTGTTATTAGTTGAAATTCTTTTACTAACTTTTTTATGATATTTACGAAAAAACTTTAATTAAAATTGCCTCCAAGTTCTTTCATTGAACATTACAAAAAATGTTAAGAAATTAACAAATGAATAAAACTGTACCCCCGAAAATACCATGAGCATTCAGAAGCTCAAAAGCTAGACTGGGTTTACAAAATATGGAACTAATCACTAAAATTTACACTTTCACCGGTCCCTTGTCTGCTAACCTGTAAATTGAATAATTGAATCAAGTATACAAGAAATAATCAAACAATATACTCGGCAAATGCAAGTATCGTACAGTTCGTTTCAAAGGGCATGAAGTTTGCAATTACTAACCTCGCTCTTTCCAATTTTCTTATCACATCTTGCATAGCATATATTGTCATCTTTTTCACCTGTTTCAAATGCAGTAATCAAGGACAAAAGTTAAATAAATTTACCTTGTATATGATCAACACTATATTTTCACATTTGAAACTTCAAACAGCATTAAAAAAACCGTTAAGAAACTCTACTCTAGAAGCCTCTCGTGCCATCTCCAATACCCAAATCTTCAAACACTTAACCAACATACACAAACAAATACAAATAGATTGGCATACCTCCAATTTGTCCTCAGCACACCCATGATTTATTGGAAGTGTACGAAATTCCTCGGTTAAACCAAAACACTCCCCAACACTTTCAGGAGAAACAAAATCCATTGCAACCTTATTACACGACTGCAAAAGGAAGTCATATATCATGGATTTACACACAACATTTCAATATTACTTTCCATAAAACTTAAAAACCACAAATTCAAACCTCAATGTTGTCGATGTATCAACTATCAAAAAATAAAAATATAAATTACCTACAACGAAGATTAAAGAAATTTACCTTGAGATTTCTAACTTGGTGAGGACAACCAGCTGGAATGAAAACAGCTTCTCCTAGCTTCTGAATAAATGTCCAGGGTTCAATTCCTACAAGAAAATACTTAACTGTAAATTTGTAGAGCAGAATTGAAATCCAAAAATTGTGGTACTGACCATACTCCTCCTTTAGCTTCCTCTTGTGCTCCACAGTCAAATAGAAGGTCTGGTCATGGATGGGGTGAATAACCTTCGTTACCGAATAACGTGAGCCGTTTGGCAGATGCATTAAGAAAAAATAAAGTCTAATGAGTGATGCATTGTCCATGTATAACAAGTATTGTCTGCCAAATACTTCAAACTAACTATTCACAATCATCTTTCATTCAATCCGTAATGGCATGTACTTAATGAAAATTTCCTTACAGGAAAATGAGAGAACGTGAGAACCTCCAAATATTACAATTGGTATGAACAAAGTTTTACTAATATCCACAAGTACCTTACCTGCTTTAAAGGACGACAATGGATATGCCTAAACTCTCTGAAATGTTTCCTCAGATACTCCTGCAATTTAGGTACGTCCTGCCTCCGAAAAATATCCCACACTGCACCATCTGAACCATCACTACCAACACTCAGTAGCTCCCTTTGCTCTTGCTCCAACTGCTTTTCTTTCAAATTCTCAATGCCAGTAAGATACTTCGCTTCCAATTTAACTTCAGCTATATGCGTCAACACATTTACCTAGCACACAATAATATTAAAAATTTGATCAGGAAAAGCAAGGCAAAAACAAAAGGTCCAAATACAAAAATGTCCTGATTAACTATGGATGAAGACAATGCACAGAATAGAAAAATCATGTGAATTGAAACAACAATCAGCTGATTCTGCTCTTAACAAACCAAACAGAGAAATGAAATGTATTATCAAATACAATAATGAACAAACTATGCACTTTCAAACATGAAGCTCGATTGGAAAATGACACACTAAAATAATCAAACAATTTAGAATAAATCCATGAAAATAACTGATCAAGAAGCAGAAAAGGCAATACAACATACTGCATCAGACATATCACAATGGAGCTTAGTTACAGAATCACCACGTCCAAGCTCATGAGGGAATCCATAGGCAATATATGTCTTCGGCCCCAAGTCTGGTTTTAGACACTCTTCAGGCAATTTCGCAGCTAGGTTGAAACAACCTCCAAATGGATCAGTATATTCCTTGAATGGTAAGGAAGATATGAACTCGGCACAATGTCGAGGTAAGCATTCCTCTAATAAATTAGTAGATGGCCAGTCTTTTAATTTCAACATGCGAGGTCGACCAAGGCAATCCACACGACCTTCTTTATACCCAGTAAAAAATTCCTCGATCTTAATTTGAACCTGGATTTAACCAACACAAAAAACTGCAGAAATCAGAAGCAGCAGAACAGACAAGTCAAGTAAAAGCAGTAAGGAATTGCAGAATCAGTCAAATAAAGCATCCGTGACTTATTCTAGTCTGCTTACAAAAAAAAATAATGCAAGTTGAAAAGAACAAGAAAATTGAAAAGCATTTTACGCCAATGTATTGTAATTTTTAGGTACTTTGCAAAACATTTCTCGGACACTCAGCTCAGACAAGTTCATGGAAGTCAGCAATTGACAACATTAAAATAAATTTGCTACAAAAATAAACTATACTTTATTGGACATTTGAAGCATAGTTGTTCCAGGTAATGTAAGTACCAATATTAAAGAATTTAAACATAAACTTCATGAGAGTGAATAATGAACTTAAGAACTTTGAGCAAAAATCACTCTGGAAATTTAAGATTAAAAAAGTAAACAAACCTCGCACAAATCTAAGCAATCAATTGCCTTCATATCCAAATGTTGTGGATGCGTGCTCTTAGCTATCTGACACAATGCACGAGACATGACAGATGGTTCCCAGCTTAAACCAGAAGTACTATCAATCGCATGGCTAACAATAACAGGCTCTCCATTTTTCCAATGCCATCGAAAATGTCCTAAATCCTCATCCTGGGGTTGTACAGCCCTAGGACAGTACAAATAGTTGTCACTAGAATATGCACGTGATGCAGCCTTCCTCATACCATGATATCTAACATCTGTTTTTCTGTCAAGCCTTGAACACGTACAGAAGTTGTCAAGTGTCCCAAGTTCGTGTCGTTGTGCTAGTTCATTTGCTTTACACAATAAATCAGTAATAAAATTTTGACCTAACATGGTTCTGAGTTCTAGAAAACCATGGTTACATTCATCACTAACTTTTGGACAAGGAATTCTACCATTACTTTCGGCATGCCATCCAAATCTTGACCATTCACGAACTACAGGTTCAGCAACATCGTTTGATTCAGTTTCGTTTACCCTTTTATTTACTACTTCTTCACCTAAAAGCTGCCCACTACGAAGCTCACGACAACAGATGAGACAAAGATCGAATGTGCATAGTGTACAGCTTCTGTGGTAATCAAATATTGACGTTTTACAATTATCACTGCAATAGATATTTAAGATAACAAATAAAAATACAAGGGTAACTGGGAATAAACAATAAAATATGAGAAATATACCAACCAATATACTCGCTCGTCCTTAGAATATACTGCATCTTTTACTCTAAGCTCAGAGATTGAGATACCTTTAGTTCATAACCAAATAGCAAATTATACAATGCAAATATATATGGAACTTGTACTAAACTCTAACTGGAGCATGACATGAGAGGCAAACTTAAGCTACGTTGCTACAGTGCATACAATAAAAATAGCTCAAAGTTAAGTGATCCAAGACCAGGACACATTCACAAAACAAACTACATTAAAAGGGGAGCAAACCAATAACAAATGGATTTTAACTTACAACAAATAACCTGATCATGTCAGAATTTATTGCAAAGAGATATTTGGCTTCATGGCATTCAAAACAATGGTTTAGTTGTGAGTAGCATAAAGTAGCATATCTATAGGAACAAGCATGCATCGATCAAAATCTTGATTCAAATATTAGTAACCTAAATCAACACTTCTAATCGAAAAATACCCTGTATCTTAGCTTCTGTTTCATTCTCAATCATTTGTTCTTCATCCAACAATCTTAAATGTGGAAGAAGTGTCTGCAGCAAATACACAGAGAATTCAACATGCTCATCTTCTTTGGTTTTTGCTTTTTTCTTCATTTCCTACCACAAATGAAACGATAACATTTTAAATGCTGAACTAAGAAAATCTCAAGAAAACCGTATTCTGAAAGGGGAGACGTAACTTTAACAAGTACATCGGATCTCAAGCATGCTACGCAGTTGCAATTTCCTCGGCACACGGGACATGACTCAAAAATGCCATCCTCTTTCAAATGAGGATACCTAATGACACAGAAAATAATTCAAGGAATAACGGTTGGTCAAGTTATCATCATTCAGAACCAAAACTGCCAAATATTGCAATATTCCACGATTTGATCTCAGAATCGTTTCTATCAGTTAAGACTTGTTCTCCCTAACATAAGAAATGGTTGCAAATTAAAACAGAGCATATAATTTGTAGAAATTCCCCATAGAAAGTATTAAACATATGCGTAAACAACTGGGCATGTCATTCATGCAAGGGCTTTCCATTTTAATTCTTTCCAGTAATCTGTATAATCAATCTCTTACAGCATAAACAATATGTCAGCAACACTGACTTGGTAGGAGGCAAGAGATAAACCTCGTGTAGATTATCCAATATCATAACATTACAATTGATACAGAAAGAACAAATAAATATGCAAGAGAGATGAAGTTATACCAATTTCGTATACATGGTACGCAATATCTTCTCATATTACAGTTTCCGCACCTCACAGTCTTCCCTCTAACCTTTATCCGACATTGATGACAAAATAAGAATAGTTCTTTAATCAACTGAGAAAGAGATACAGAACACTAAATGTGAGCTAAAGTAAATAGGAAAGTTAAACTCAAATGAGCATACATATATTTTTATTGAGTAATAAATAATGTCACCTTGCTGCAAGTTTGAAACACCTTGTACCTTACTATATTTTGCCTCTATTATCTGTTTTCTCCTTCTTCGAAAGTATTTTATAAGAAACCTGTCCTTCATTTGTTGAGTTGTTGTATCAGAATCCATGGTAACGTGACTCTCAGCAATGGAGGATATCAAGTGTTTACCAATGTGAAGAAGAAAATCAAATGAACAAAACCCCACTGTGAACCCTAAGCCTGCATTTTTGTTCCGCTATCAGACCTGGGAATAGACATGGTGTAATTATGATCTTATAGAAAGGATGATATGCAGTTTTCATACCTTTTCAGATGATGTGATTATGATCTTATAGGAGAGATGATAAATAAGGAGACTTTTCAAATCCAAATTTAGGCAACTAATTGGCTGGAAAATTATTTACCATTACAGTGGATATATATTTTAGTGTAAACATGATTTCCTGGAAATTGTAGAAATCCCACTGTGATGTGTACAAAAAGAGACGTTACGAGAAAAACAGGAGTAATCTCGAGGATCTTGTTGATATTTTTCAATGGAAAATTAGATTTTTTAACTATCTGTTTTTTATTTTTGTTTTTATCTTTTGAGATATTCTATCAATCAAATCAATTAACTAATAAAGCTCTCTTTTATAATATTTTTTTATATTGCCGGTGAAAAATCCAGAGCAATTGATTAATTAAAATTTTGAAAAGTATGTTTTGAATTATTTTAACTGTTTTCAGTTTTTAAAACATCTTATATTAAAGGGTTAAATATGTTTTTAGTCCCTAAACTATTGACCGTTTCTGGTTTTCGTCCCTCTTTCAAAGTAAGGTACAATTTGGTCCTCATTCTTTAGAAAAACGTTCGTTTTAGTCCTCAAAATTTTGTTTTTAGTCCTCGTTTTAGTCCTCAAAACGTTCATTTTTTCGACTAAAACAAACGTTTTTTAAAGATTGAGGACTAAATTGTACCTTACTTTGGAAGAGGGACGAAAACCAGAAACGGTCAATAGTTTAGGGACTAAAAACATATTTAACCCTATATTAAACTAGAACAAAAAATAAAATTAATTTGAGATATAATGAATAATTTTTATTAAAGAATATAAGAATATAAAATAAGTATCTATATCATTATATAAAAAATATTATATATATATATATATACATATTTATAACTTAAAAAAATTACAGTGTTATTATTTAATTTTTATAGTATAAAATAACTTTATTATGAATAAGTTTTAATATTTAAAAACAAGTTATTTTTTAAATTATACTTTTATAGTTTTTTATTTCCTTTTAACGGGTTCCTCTGGTTAAAAAAACAAGAAAAAAAAATTATCTTTAGTTTGAACACATAAATTTTTCTTTTTACATAAGTTGAATTTTAGTCTTTTTTTTCTTTTATTTGTTATATGTAATTTTTATTCTACCATCTTTTAGTCATATATATATATATATATATATATATATATATATGATCATTTCTTTGTTTAGATAAAACAATCTTAAATTGAGAAAAGTTTTGCTAGTTAGAATCTTGTAATACTTAATTTTTTTTTCATATGATCAGTCTCTTTATTTAAATATTATATTTTAAAATATATATAATTATAACACTTAAATATAATTATTTAAATAAATTGTAATCCCAAAAATAATAATTATATTTATTTTTTAATATAAATATAAAACAAAAATAAAAAAGCACAACGACCTGCGTATATCTAATACGAAATATAAAAACTAGTTCAAAATAAATATAAAAGCTTGGAGAGATATCTAATTCAAAATTAGAAACGAAATCCTAAAAGGTTTATCATATAGGATAGCTATCAAAATTTATATAAAGTATTATTCAAATAGTTTCTCAATGTTAAAAAAAGAACAATGTTCTATTTTCCAAACCTTAACTAATGATTATTTGTTTGATTTTAAATTACAATTAATAATTTTTACAAAAAATATTATCCTTTGAATACTTTTATTTTAATTTATAAACATAACACACTTTATTTAAGTTAAAATTATACGGTGGGATAAGCTAATTGAAAGTTTATAAACTTGAAACTAGTTTAGCTAATATTTGGTTTCAATAATGTTGATATTTTTAGATTGTTCAAATATATATGCTTTTAAAAAATACATTATAGAATAATAATTATTTTTTAATACTTTTAGATTGCACTTTTTTAGAATGTGTTAAAGTTTAATACTTTTATAATATATTGAACTTTTAATTCATTACACAAAATACCTTCAAGAAGTTATTTTTAGAAAAAAATAATAATAAAGTGAGGTAAATTAATAAATTGTAAAGATTCTGGCATTTTGGAGAGTGCAACAATTTTGTGATTTCTTTAATAGGGCTTTTTGGAAATTTCTTTTCTTTTTCAAATTCATGCTTCTATTAAATATTTTGCTAAATTTTTTTTTATTTCCTTAAATAGTATATTAAAAAGAATTGATTGGAAGCGACCCAAGAACTTAACTTGTGGACCTCAATTTTTACTCTACATTTTAACCATTTATTATTGATTTATATAAATAAGCATTCAATTTATACAGGCTAAGGTGGAATTAAAAGGAGTTTCAGCTAAAAGGGAGTATCACAAAAAGAAATTGTCATATCATGTAAGAGTAGGGTGTTTCGTATTCAATTTTCCAAAATATCAAATGTGATGGAAGAAGAATAGAAATTCAAGCATCAATTATCAATGGACACTCAAAATATTTAAGGCTCGCGAGCTTTAAGCCGTAAAACGAGAAAATACCTTAAATATAGTAATTGATTTTATTAATGTTATCAATAAGTTAATTTTAAGTATTGTAAAATGTGTCACTAATACTGACTAAATGACGGTATTGTAATTTACAAATAAACCTATTGAAAAAACCCATGATGTTACAAAATTACTAAATTTTTTCATAGACAATTGGCCAGTAGAGAAATTATTTTAATAAATTATAAATTAAACTATCTGGATCGTAATACTCAGTTATTATAAGTCACTAATGATTAGTGTACTAGATTATAACTTTCTACATCGAGATCTAACAAAATAGGATAACTAATAGTGAATGTTCTAGTTAGGATACAAGAATGTTCCTAAAACTTTAAGATCATCTTAGAAAAAGATCAAACATAGATCTCTTGAACATGTAGAGGGAGGAGATCAATATCTTCAATAACAGTTTTTAGTGTTTGATTTTTGGCTTATGCAATATCGTGTGATAAGACTAACTAGCTCTTTTGATATCAATTAATAAGCATATAAATTGTATCAATATATATTAGCTATATATAAAAATAATAGTAGATTTTTTATTAATGTATTATTCATTTTAGTTTTTATTTTATTTTATTTGAGGTTGGGTTTTAACTCTTCTCGAATTCCTGTTAGAGCTGCTGAACTGATGAAAAGAACTGAAATGTAACTCATGAAGCCAGAGCAACAAATGAAAGGACAGAAACTCTTAGATCTTCCTCTAAAAACCATTCCTGTTAAGAACATGTAATATTTAAAACAAATACAATGCGTTGGTTAGGTTTTTCGAACCAATATACATGGAGTTGAATAATTAAAGGAACATCCGATGCATTGAAAGAATCTAAATCTGTTACTGACACATAATTCCTTTTTCTCTATACTTTTTACATGCTGCAGTGATACAATGCCATACCCTCTGGGGTTTCCTCAGCCCTTAATCTAGGGCGGGTAATTTATGAAGGAGAAGCAGTTTGTAGGAATTATATAAGTGCAAACATCTCATCTACTATATAATTCAACTGATCTTTCTAACAACTCGTAGTTGTTGCCTGAAATTTCTTTGACTCTTGATCCGTTTTTGTATACTCTGAAAGCTGGGATGGAGCTCACACCTTCAGACTTTGCTAAGTAAGGGTGGTCTTCGATTTCCACCTAAAAAAGTATCATTTAGATATAAGTACGAAAAACGAAAGAGACCCAGAAAACAAAGTTAAAGGATTGATGTTGGTTAATGTTGGTTTTGGTAAGTGAAGTTGTTTCTTTGCTTTCTTAGTTCATTCCTTCATAGAAAGCTATTTGGTTTTCTGTCACATGACCAACCTTGAGGAAATGAACTGATGGGAATCTTTTGCTGGTTTGCTCCAACATAAGTAACACTTTCTTGTGGGTTGCCTTGTTGCTAAAGAGCACCACAGCCATCCCTGTTCAATAGCCCTCACAACTGGTTAGTGTATTTGTAGTACTCATGTGAATGCAATTTTCCAACAGAAGAAGCCAAATATGCCTTACCAGGTGAGGTTACATAATGTCTGAACCGATCATTGCTTGAGATGAAGACCAAGTTTGAACCAAATTTCAAGTCCTTGATATCTTCACCGCGTAGCATCTTGAGTTGGAGTTGAGCTTCAAACAAAGCCCTTGCCACTTCCTCATCCCCTGGCCTTTCTCTCAATAG